TGATGAATAGTACAATAAACATTTTTATATGGATCGTCTTTTTATTTTGGATTACGTCAGTGGAACATATACACAAAGTGGATTTATCCTATGAAAAGATTTAAAAAGGGCTGGGCACGGTTGGGAGGCCGAGGCAGGCGGATCACTTGAGCCCAGGAGTTTGAGACCAGCCTGGGCAATATAGGGAAACCTCTTCTTAGAGAAAATAAAAATAAATTAGCCAGGCGTGGTGGCACATGCCTGTGGTCTCAGCTACTCAGGAGGATGTGGTGAGAGGATTGCTTGAGCCCAGGAGGTGGAGGCTGCAGTGAACTGTGATCACACCACTGCACTCCAGCCTCAGTGACAGAGTGAGACCCTAGTTCTAAAAATATATAAATAACTTAAAAATACAAAGAAGCAGCCAAAGGAGAGGAAGTTAAGAGGAGTCAGTCAGAGCAAAGTCTCTGAGGCCAGCAGCCTGCCTGGTTTGAAAGGCAGTTGCTCCCACTCACTAGTCATGAACCCTGAGCAAGTTTCCTAACCTCTGCGCCTCATTTTCTCATCTATAAAGTGGGCATAAGAATAGTAAGCCTGGCCAGGCGCAGTGGCTGACGCCTATAAACCCAGCACTTTGGGAGGCCGAGGCAGGTAGATCACGAGGTCGGGAGTTCAAGACCAGCCTTGCCAACATGGTGAAACCCCGTCTCTACTAAAAATACAAAAATTAGCCGGGTGTAGTGGTGGGCACCTCTAATTCCATCTACTCAGGAGGCTGAGGCAGAGAATTGCTTGAACCTGGGAGGTGGTGGTTGCAGTGAGCTGAGATCGTGCCACTGCACTCTAGCCTGGGAAACACAGCGAGACTCCGTCTCAAAAAAAAAAAAAAAAAAAAAAAAGAATAGTAAGTCTACTTCATAGAGCAATTGTGAGGGAAAGTAAATTATATATAAAGCACCAAGAGTCGTGCCCAGCAAATGGTGTAACTGTTAGCTGTTATTATTGCTGTTATCATCATCGTCATCTGCATCATCGTTCAGTCAATCTCATTAAGTTTATTTTTTATTTTTTTAGAGGCAAAGTCTTGCTAAGGGCTGGAGTGCAGTGGCTATTCACAGGCGCGATCATAATGCACTACAATCTGAAACTCCTGAGCTCAAACAGTCGTTCTGCCTAAGCTTCCCCAGTAGCTGGAATTACAAGCGTGCATCCCTGAGCCCCAGTGATTAAGTTTTATTATGTAAAAAATAAAGAGCAAACAGTCATAGCTGATACGGACTCTCTCTTTTTTTTTCTTTTTTTAAGAATTTTCATAACTTTTTAGCCTGCCCATTTCCTAACCTGCCACCGTTGGAAGCCATGGATATAGTGGAGGTCATTTACATCAACAGAAAGAAGAAAGTGTGGGATTATAATTATGATGATGAAAGTGACAGTGATACTGAGGCAGCACTCAGGACAAGTGGCGGTGGCTATACCATGCATGGACTGACTGTGAGGCCTCTGGGTCAGACCTCCGCCACCTCTACAGAATCCCAGTTTACAGACCCAGACTCCGAGGAGGAGCCTGACCTGCCTGAGGTTGATGTGGAGCTCCCCACGACGCCAAAGTGCAGCCCTCAGCGGTTGGAGCTCTTGAGTGCGCCCTGTGAGAGGAGAGCGAGTCCGCTCCAGGACCCCTTTCCCGAAGAGGACTACAGCTCCACTGAGGGGTCTGGGGGCAGAATTACCTTCAATGTGGATTTAAACTCTGTATTTTTGAGGGTTCTTGATGACGAGGACAGTGACGACTTAGAAGAAGCTCCTCTGATGGTATCATCTCATCCGGAAGAGATGGTTGACCCAGAAGATCCTGACAATGTGCAGTCAAGCCATTTGCTGGCCAGTGGGGAAGGGACACAGCCAACCTTTCCCAGCCCCTCTTCAGAGGGCCTGCAATCTGAAGATGCTCCATCTGATCAAAGTGACACTTCTGAGTCAGATGTTGACCTTGGGGATGGTTATATAATGAGATGACTCCAAAACTATTGAATGAACTTGGACAGACAAGCACCTATAGGGTTCTGTCTCCCTGCACCCTAACTTGCTGCCTTATCATCTGCAAGTGTTCTCCAAGGGAAGAGGTAGGGAACTGTAGGGTACTCCATTCTTCCAGGCGGCATCACCTATGCAGATTCCCAGTATGGGGACCATAGTATCATTGAGTGCATTGTTTACATATTCAAAGTGATGGACTTTGAAGGAAGCACGTGTGCACCTCCCCTTTACACTAATGCACTTAAGATGTTTCTGCATCATGTTTACCAGGGAGCAGGGTTCTCTGTGGTTTCAGAGGTGGTCCAGGACCCTATGATATTTCTTTTCTTTTCTCTTTTTTTTTTTTTTTTTTTGAGACAGAGTCTCATTCTGTCACCCAAGCTGGAGCGCAATGGCGTGATCTCGGCTCACTGCAACATCTGTCTCCCGGGTTCAAGTGATTCTCCTGCCTCAGCCTCCCTCGCGAGTAGCTGGAACTACAGGCGCCCACCACCACGCCTGGCAAATGATTGTATTTTTAGTAGAGACGGGATTTCACCGTGTTGGCCGGGCTGATCTCTAACTCCTGACCTCAAGTGATCCACCCTCCTCAGCCTCGAAAAGTGCTGGGATTACAGGGGTGAGCCGCTGCGCCCAGCTGGCCCTGTGATATTTCTGGGAAATAAATTGGGCCAGGGTGGGAGCAGTGAAAGAAAAGGAAAATAGTAGCAAGAGCTGCAAAGCAGGCAGGAAAGGAGGAGGAGAGCCAGGGGAGCCCCTGGAGAGAAGGGGGGCCCTGCACAAGGAAACAGGGAAGAGCCATCGAAGTTTCAGTCAGTGAGCCGTGGGCATCTCACCTATGTCACATCCTGTCTCCTGCACTTGGAATTCCACCTTGTCCAGCCCTCGCCAGTTAAAGTGGGGAAAACAGACTCTAGGATCAGGCACATGACTAATACAGAAAGGAAACATGGCGTCGGGGAGAGGGATAAAAACCTGAGTGCCATATTTTAAGGTTAAAAAAAAGAGCAAAGGTGCTTCAGGGTCTTCAGGAGAAGATCTTGAACCTTCAAACCTTTCTCTTAGGCCCCTTCAAAAGGGGAAAACTAACAATTATACAAGTTATAGTTCAAGGACTTTAACCAGATTATTTATATGATTGTGCAAAAGAATAGGACTGTGAGGAGGGAACACCTTATTTAATACATACAAGTTTCAGAGACCCTATTTGACAATTTTCAGAGTGCTCTCTGTGCTGATTCCGAATCGAGTGTATCAGCTGTGATTACAGTTCCTGTGAATCTAGGCCAGGTTAGGGGGGTGCGGGTGGGGGAAGGGAAGCCTGACTGGGAGCAATCTACCTGTAATCCCAGCACTTTGGGAGGCCTAAGCAGGCGTATTGCTTGAGACCAGGAATTCGAGACCAGCCTGAGCAACATGGCAAATCTGTCTCTACAGAACAAAATTACAAAAATTAACTGGGCGTAGTAGCATGTGCCTGTTGTCCCAGCTACTTGGGAGGCTGAGGAGGGAGAATGGCTTGAGCCCAGGAGGTAGAGGTTGCAGTGAGCCAAGATCACGCCACTGCACTCCAGCCTAGGTGGCAGAGCCAGACCCTGTCATTAAAAAGGGGGTTGGGGGGAAAGGTTCTAGAATGTCATGTGGCAACCAGTTTAAAGGACTGGGACTCAAGGATCCACCTCCCACAGTTGCCCTGTGTGACCCTAGGCATTTGACTTAGCCTCTCTGAGCCTCAGGTTTTTTGTTTCTGAAACAAAAGGATTGGACTAGGTAATCTCCAGGATCCTATGAACCCAGGAGAAAGATGAGAAAATGTATAAGAATAAACACTCAGGTGGAAAGGCTGCAACCCTGAGAAACTCCCAGGTTGAATGAAAGGCACAGGACCCTCTTACCCCTTACCTTTCCCCACCCCCCAAGAGCCGGTTTCTCAAACCTTTCTCTTAGGCCCCTTCAAAAGGGGAAAACTAAAAATTATACAAGTCATAGTTCAAGGACTTTAACTAGATTATTTATATGATTGCGCAAAAGGATAGGACTGTGAGGAGGGAACACCTTATTTAATCTAATGAAATTCCATAGGAAAGCGACCTTTTGTATGTGTAATCAATTTCTCTGCCTTCTCAATGCATCTGTCATATTCTGAAAGATTTCCGGGTTGATCTTTTGGGATAAGTTCTATGGCTGTTTGTGAGTGTGTGTGTGTGTGTGTGTGTGTGTGTGTGTGTATTTTTAATTTTGTATAATGGTTGGAGGTTGGTAAAAAGTAATACAACAATACTTTTTAATACAAACTTGGTGTGGTCTTGAGTTGTTTTCCATTGGAGAGTGTATGTGTGCCACAGATTGGTGCACCTGCTGGCATCTCTAGAATTGCACCAACTCCCTCTAGCTCTTCCTGGTGGCCTGCAGGGGCCTAGGGCGCATTCACTTCCCTTGGCTTGACTTTACGTGGTGTCCTAGCGTCAGACATCAGGCGATGCTGTAGATTACCCAAGACATTGGACAGCTCTGGATTTTCCCATCTCACCACTCATCAAGTTAAAAAGAGGAAATTAACGTTTTCTCAGTAGTCCCTGAAAGAAACTAGTTATTTGCGTAAAAATGACTGGGCTTTGTGTTGTTTATCCCTGGAGAGGAGAAGGGTAAAGAAGACCCTCAAACTGGATTTGCTGATGGAATGCTTTTAACTCACCTATGCGGAGAGAGGACTTTAAGAGAGGGCGTGCCGGTGCTCCGGACAAAACCTGGGGAATACTGAAAGCCACCACCACCACCGTCATTCCAGCATCCAGATCTCAGTCCTGGGTTGGTGTTGTAGGGTATTTATTTCACTTGACGGCGACTTTCAAAGTTTGCGAGGCTCCCTTCCTCTTGCTCGTGTGCACCTGCCAAGCCGGTGCCCCGCGCTTCGCGGGCGGACCCGGGCTGGTGGGCGGGGCCTGCAGCGGGGTAGGAGCCCGATCGCCCGGCCCCTCCCCGCCCCGCCCCGCCCCGCCCCGCTCCGCTGATTCCCGGAAGCGACCGCGTACGAGCGCTCTCAGGCGCTGCCGGGGGTCGTGTGCCTGGAGGAAGCCGCGGCACCCCCGGCGCCCGTCCATGGCGCGGAGCCTCGGGAGCTGGCTGGGCGGCTGCCTGCTGGTGTCAGGTGAGGGGTCCGCGGGGAGGGGGGCGCGCTTGGGAACCGGGAGGCCCCGCGAGATGCCACCCGTAATCCCATCCCTGGGCACCATGAAAGTGACTTAAGTGCCCGGTCGGGCCATCGGGACCTCGGGACTGCCGGAGATCTGTAACAGGAGGAAGCCCCGTCCGCACCCGGATTACAGACCGTCTGGGCCCTAAACTCAGGGGGAGACTCCCGGCGTCTTTTAACTCCCAGTCCTCCTGCAGCTCTCTGCTGGCGGGCGTCTAAGTAAAGTAGCTTCCCCGAAAGACCCAGGATCCCACCGTGGCTGTCATCTGGCCCTTCTGGAGACCATCAGTTCAAGTGGAGGCCCCCACCAGCCCCCGATGCTCTGACAGCCCTCCCCGACCCCAAGTCTGCCCACCTCAGTGCCAGCCCTCCCTACAGATGTGCCTCCCATCACCCGCTGCACCTCCCCTCCTTCCGGTTCAGGCCTGAGCACCCTGAAATCTGGATTCTGCCCCCCAGAGCCCCCCATGGCTTCTAAACCTAAATCCATTGAAACCTTTCCTGTCCTCTAAATTGACTGCCTAGGTTCCAATAACACGATGGTCACCTCCCTCCTTTCTCATGAACTCTTCCCTGGCCTTCCGGGATACTCCTCCGGTTTCCCGCCTACCCGTCAGGCTGTCTCTGCTTGGGACCCTCCTGCTCTGTCGGGTCTCTATGCAGCTAATTGTGAAGCCCAAGGCCTCTTCTCTCCTTCCCCCCCGGCACTGTTCCTTTGGGGGATTTCAGCCAAACCTTGGCATTAAACCCGGGCTATAGGCCCATGACTCGCACATTTATATCTCTCTTGGTATCCGTTGGGTGATGGGTGGTGGTTTATTATAGTCTTCTACTTTTCTACTTGCTTGTAGATTTCAAATTTTCTTTTCTTTTCTTTTCTTTCTTTTTTTTCTTTCTTTCTTTCTTTTTTTTTTTTCGAGACAGAGTTTTGCTCTGTCACCCAGGCTGGAGTGCAATGGCTTGATCTCGGCTCACCACCACCTCCGCCTCCCGGGTTCAAGCGATTCTCCTCCCTCAGCCTCCCGAGTAGCTGGAATTACAGGTGTGCGCCACTATGCCTGGCTAATTTTTGTATTTTTAGTAGAGATGGGGTTTCACCATGTTGGCCAAGCTGGTCTTAAACTCCTGACCTCAGGTGATTCACCCGCCTCGGCCTCCCAAAGAGCTGATGTCAGGCACGAGCCACTGTGCCTGGCCAGGTTTCAAATTCTCTATGAAAAGGTTTGAAAATAATTTCTGTCTCTAGCCCAAATCTGTTCTTGGTGTGACCTCTGGGCTCATTCATCTGACTGTCTCCCTGACATTCCTACTTCAGCGTCTCTCCAGCATCTCCAACCTAATGCAGCTCAAATGGGACTGGTCAGTTCCCCAGCTGAGCTCCAATCCGGGCACCCCTGCTTAAGCCCAAAATGGACATTGACCTCAGCTTTTAGGCATCAAATGTATCAGGAAGTCTCCAGTTTGTTTTTACCTCTGGAAATATATCTGAAATCCATGTACCCCAGTCTACCCCCTCATACCTTTCTGCCACCATGCAAATCCAGGGCTCCGTTGTCTGTCCCCACTTTACTCCTGCCTCTCCAGAAATTTCTCCTCATGGCTGTTCAAAGAAAATCTAGACTCCTCAGCACAGCCAACCTGTCTCTCTCTCCCTCCCTCACCATAGAAGAGAACCAAGTGCGGGATGTGGGCTTTTCATGGGCATCTGTTTTGAGGAAAAAGGTTGTAAATGTTTTTCTCATATTTTCATAGCATTAGGAATGGTACCACCTCCTGAAAATGTCAGAATGAATTCTGTTAATTTCAAGAACATTCTACAGTGGGAGTCACCTGCTTTTGCCAAAGGGAACCTGACTTTCACAGCTCAGTACCTAAGGTGGGTCTGGCCTCACTTTTGGCAGGAACGCACCAGAGGAGTCGGCCCTGGGCTGGTTACTGGGCTGGGCCACAGGAGGAAGGGAGTCTGCCTACGGTCACCATGTGACTGTGACAGCCCTCAGGGAGCCTCCCTGCCAGCTTTTTCCTGTCTGGGAAATTCTGGTGGCCACCTTTCCTCTTTTAGGTTTTGTGGTTGTGATGGTTGGTGATTTGAATGTTGATCACAGGGCTGCTGGCAGATATAGACATGTTATGTGTATGTAGATAGAGTCAGCCATAGTGGTAACCTCATGCTGTGCAGATCCTAGCCTGTTTGTCACAGTTGATATATTTTAAAAGAAAAATACCACTGCTGTCATCTCCAGGTATGAGTAGTATTGCTAGAAGTCAACAATGTTGAGTGGATGCTACCCAAGAAACTGAGATATGCAAAGCAGTCAGGAAGCCCCTTGCTACCATATATCACCTGTTCCCCGACGGATTATAGCATCATGCCTCAGTGCTGTGCGATGCACATAATTTGCATAATGAGCACTCAGTTTCTCCGTGGTTTCGTCCTGAAATTAAAAGTAAGACAGCTACTGACTGTTAAAAGCCCCATTCTCTGACAACAGCAGGCGCCGTGAAGTAAGAGTGAGTGTCACCCTAGACGGTCATCTCAGCAGCGATCTGAACACCCTCTACCTCTCCTGCCTATCAATGTTTCCCTATGCCTGGCAAAGGAAGTCAGTGCCAGCACTCCCTTGGCAGCCTGCCACCATACGCCACATGCTGGACTGCAGGTGACACACCTTTAGGCCAGGCGCAAACAGCAGCAGGAGGCCCAAGGCTGACAAGCCAACACACCTGCTTTCTATGTGACTCAGAAACATAACGAAGATAGACAAGTCCTTCAATGAGGCAGGAGGATATTTGGTCCCAGATCCAGCTGTCATTTCACAAAAATCCCCAAGGCCTGCTACATCAGAGAAGAAGTAGAAGAAAGATGAATAAGATAGTCCTTGTCTATGCGTTGCTGGCTTTTGTTTTTTAACTTGTAGTTCCAAATAATTCCAGACTTACAGAACATTTCAAAATTTTAAGTAGAATACAAAGAATTTCCAGATAGCCTACAACCAGATTCACCTTTTTTTTTTTTTTTTTTTTTTTTTTTTTGAGATGGAGTCTCTGTCACCCGGGCTGGAGTGCAGTGGTGTGATCTTGGCTCTCTGCAAGCTCCGCCTCCCGGGTTCATGCCATTCTCCTGCCTCAGCCTCCTGAGTAGCTGGGACTATAGTTGTCCGCCACCACACCCGGCTAATTTTTTGTATTTTTAGTAGAGACGGGGTTTCACCGAGTTAGCCAGCCTTGATCTCCTGACCTCGTGATCCGCCCGCCTCGGCCTCCCAAAGTGCTGGGATTACAGGCATGAGCCACTATGCCGGGCCCAGATTCACCAATTTTTAATGTTGGTCACATTCTCTCCCTTCCTCTTTCTCTCTCATGCCCTTTGTGCTGTAATATTTCAGTGTGTATTTCACAAGAACAAGTATCATCTCTTACATCACATAGTACAGTGAGAAGCTCAGGAACTTTTACATTCATGCAATACTTGTATCTGATTTACAGCCCATAGTCCAGTACTGTCAACTGTCCCAAGGATTGAAGGAGGGCATATTCTAAATTGATTTTTTTCCTGATGTGCATTTTCGAACACTGATTGGCTTTCTCACTAGCTTTCTGTGCTTTCTCTACTCAGTCTGGATAGCCAAGAGATTTTACTGTGGAAAATTAACTTTCTTCTCTGTCTCTCTGTCTCCCCTGTAGTTTATTTATTTATTTATTTATTTTTTGTTCTATGCTGTGCTTTTGGGTTTGTTTGGGTTTTTTTCTTTTCCTTTTTTTTTTTTCGAGACAGAGTCTCGCTCTGTCGCCCAGGCTGGAGTGTACTGGCGCAATCTGGGCTCGCTACAAGCTCCACCTCCCAGCTTCACACCATTCTCCTGCCTCAGCCTGCCGAGTAGCTGGGACTACAGGCGCCCGCCACCATGCCTGGCTAATTTTTTGTATTTTTGGTAGAGATGGGGTTTCACCGTGTTAGCCAGGATGGTCTCGATCTCCTGACCTCATGATCCACCTGCCTTGGCCTCCCAAAGTGCTGGGATTACAGGTGTGAGCCACCGCACCCGGCCTTTTTTTTTTCCTTTGAGACTGGGTCTCACTGTGTCACCAAGGCTGGAGTGCAGTGGCGCGACCTCTGCTCACTGCAGCCTCCGCCTAGTGAAGGCCCAGCACTTTGGGAGACTGAGGTGGGTGGATCACCTGAGGTCAGGAGTTCGAGACCAGCGTTACCAACATGGCAAAACCCCATCTCTACTAAAAATACAAAATTAGCTGGGCATGGTGGTGCATACCTGCAATCCCAGCTACTTGGGAGGCTGAGGCAGGAGAATCACTTGAACCCAGGAGACACAGTTTGCAGCAAGCCGAGATTGTGCCATTGCACTCCAGCCTGGGCAACAGAGTGAGACTCCATCTCAAAAAATTTAAAAAAAAAAAAAAAAAAACTAGTGAAAAAGAAGTTATTGCAAAACAACTTTTGAAATGCTGCACATGCTGGACAGTTGATGCATTAGTTTAAAAGAAGGAAATGGGTCAGGCGTGGTGGCTCATACCAGTAATCCCAGTGCTTTGGGGGGCCAAGGTAGGATGATCACTTGAGGCCAGGAGTTCAAGACCAGCCTGTGCAACATAAGAGTCCCTTGTCTCTACAATTTTTTTTTTTTAATTAGCCGGACTTGAGTTGGAAAGAAGGAAGGCGGGAGGGAAGAAAAAAGAGAGGGAGGGAAAAAAAATATGGCCACATGTGAGAAAACCCCATTAATGAAACGACCGCTGGATTTTCCAAATGATGGGATGTTAAGCAGCCGTGAAGAAATGATTGATTGACAATTATTTGTGGTATATTAAGTGAAAAATAGCATGATCCCAATGATCTCTACCTACTTTTTGCAAGGGATTGTTCTAGGTATCACTAAGAATGCTGTAAGGTGTGGTGTGCTACCTTAGACTATGAAATCAAACAGATCTGAGTTCAGTTGGGCAGATTTCTTAGACTCTCCACTCCTGACCCCTGTGTACTTAACAAATGTTGGCTGTTGCTATTTTTGTCACCATCACTTTCATCATCACTTCTGGGAGTAACCAAATTGGTTTTGGCACCAGAAGATACCTTGGGGGACCAATCAGATAGCTCCTCACTTTTTTATTTTATTTTATAAATTTTTAAATTAAATTAAATTAAATTTTTTGAGACCGTCTCACTCTGTTGCCCAGGCTGGAGTGCAGTGGTGCGATCACGGCTCACTGCAGCCTCTACCTCCCAGGCTCAAGCGAGCTTCCCTCCTTAGCCTACTAAGTAGCTAGGACTACAGGTGCATGCCACCACACCCAAATAATTTCTTGATTTTTTATAGAGACAAGGACTCACCATATTGTCCAGGCGGTTCTCAAACTCCTGGGCTCAGGCAATCCTTTGCCTCGGCCTCCCAGAGTGCTGGGATTACAGGCATGAGCTATGAGCCCGCCCAGCTCCTCACTTTTTGCAGGATAAGAGCCTGGGCTTCCTTTGATCCTGTGCAGCCAATTATACCTCCTCGGCTGTTGCAAGCTTAGATTCAAGAGATTGTATTTCCCTAGCATCCAACAGGCATTTCCAAATGTCATCTCTTCTTCCACTTCACTTTCTGTCATGCTCCCTTTAGTGGTTGTGGCCGGGGCTGGTGTTCTGATTGAGACTGATAAATTGTTTTTTTAATTTTTCCAGAGTAATTGCAATGACAGTCATTTATAGGTCGGACAGTCATGGGTCACTTAACAACTGGGGTACATTCTGAGAAGTGCATCATTAGACAGTTTTGTTGTGTGAACATCATACAGTGTACTTGCACAAACCTAGACGGTGTAGCCTAGTATACACCTAAGCTATGTGGTGTAGCCTATTACCCCAGGCTGTAAACCTGTACAGCATGTTACTGTACGGAGTACTGTAGGCAATCGTAACACAATGGTATTTGTATACAGGCATACCACAGAGTTAAGGCAGTTTTGGTTCCAGACTACCATAATAAAGTTAAAACCACAATAGAGCAAGTCATATGAATTTTTTTGTTTCCTAGTGCATATAAAAACTATGTTTATACTGTAGTCCATTAAGTGTGCGATAGCATTATGTCTAAAAAAATGTGCACAGATTAATTTTTAAATACTTGCTGAAAAATGCTGGCAATCATCAGAGCCTTCAGCAAGTCATAATCCTTTTGCAGGTGGAGCATCTTGCCTTGATATGGATGGCTGCTGACCGATCAGGGTAGTGGTTGCTGAGTTGCAGCGACTGTGGTAATTTCTTGAAATAAGATGACAATGAAGTTTGCTGCATCAATTAACTCTTCCTTTCACGACAGATTTCTCTGTAGCATGAGATGCTGTTTGGTAGCATTTTACCCACAGAAGAATTTCTTTCAAAATTAGAATCCTTTCAAACCCTGCTATGCTCTATCAACTAAGTTTATGTAATATTCTAAATCCTTTTTTGTCATTTCTACAATGTTCATAGCATCTTCACTGGAATAAATTCCATCTCAAGAAACCACTTTCTTTGCTCATTCATTAGAAACAACTCTTCATCTGTTCAAGTTTTATCATGAGATTGGAGCAATTCAGTCGCATCTTCAGGTTCTGCTTCTAATAATTCTAGTTATGTTGCTCTTTCCACCACATCTGCAGTTAAGTTCCTCCACTGAAGTCTTGAACCCCTTAAAGTAATCTATGAGGGTTGGAATCAGCTTCTTCCAAGCTCCTGTTAATATTATATTTTGACCTCCTCCTATGAATCACCAATGTTCTTAATGGCATTTTGAATGGTGAATCCTTTCTGGAGGTTTTCAATTTACCTTGCCCAGATCCATCAGAGAAATCACTATCTATGGCAGCTATAACTTTATGAAATATATTTCTTTATTTTATTTTATTTTACTTTATTTTTTAAGATGGAGTCTCACTCTGTTGCCCCGGCTGAAGTGCAGCGGCATGATCTCAGATCACTGCTGCCTCCACCTCCCAGGTTCAAGTGATTCTCCTGCCTCAGCCTCCCAAGTAGTGCCACCACACCTGGCTAATTTTTGTTATTTTTTTTTTAGTAGAGTCAGGGTTTCACCATGTTGGCTAGACTGGTCTTGAACTCCTGACCTCAAATGATTTGCCTGCCTTGGCCTCCCAAAGTGCTGGGATTACAGGCATGAGCCACTGTGCCTGGCTTCCAAATATATTTCTTAAATAATAAGACTTGAAAGTCGAAATGACTCCTTGATCCATGGGCTGCAGAATGGATGTTGTGTTAGCAGGCACGAAAACAGCATTCATCTCCTTTTAAATTTCCATCAGAGCTCTTGGGGAACCAGGTACGTTGTCAATGAGAGGTAATATTTTGAGAGAAAACTTTTTATCCTGAGCAGTAGGTCTTAATACTGGGCTTAAAATATTCAGTAAACCATGCTGTAAACAGATGTGCTGTCCTCCAGGCTTTGTTGTTCCATTTGTAGAGCACAGGCAGAGTAGATTTAGCATAATTCTTAAGAGCTCTCAAATTTTCAAAACGGTAATCCAGTGTTGGCTTCAACTTAAAGTCACCAGCTACATTAGCCCTTAACAAGAGTCAGCCTGTTCTTTGAAGCTTTGAAGCTAGCCATTGACTTCTCCTCTGTAGCTATGAAAGTCCTGGATGATATCTTAATAGAAGGTTGTTCCATCTACATTAAAAATCTGTTTTTTAGAGTAGCCACCTTCATCATTTTAGCTAGATTTTAGCTAGATCTTCTGGATAACTTGCTGCAGCTTTTACATCAGCATTTGCCGCTTCACCTTGCACTTTTATGTTATGGAGATGACTTCTGTCTTTAAACCTTATGAACCAACCTCTGCTAACTTCCAACTTTTCTTTCTTTTTTATTTATTTATTTTGAAACAGAGTCTTGCTCTGTTGCCCAAGCTGGAATACAGTGGCACAATCTCGTCTCACTGCAACCTCTGCCTCCCAGGTTCAAGTGATTCTCCTGCCTCAGCCTCCTGGGTAGCTGGGATTACAGGAGTGTGCCATCACGCCTGGCTAATTTTTTTGTATTTTTAGTAGAGACGGGGTTTCACCATGTTGGTCAGGCTGGTCTCGAACTCCTGACCTTATGATCTGCCTGCCTTGGCTTCCCAAAGTGCTGGGATTACAGGTGTGAGCCACCGTGTCCAGCCCCAACTTTTCTTCTGCAGCTTCTCAGCTTTTTCAGCCTTCACAGAATTGGAGTGTCAGGGTCTTGCTCTGGATTAGACTTTGGCTTAAGGGAATGGTGTGGCTGGTTTGATCTTCTATCCAGACTACTGAGACTTTCTCCATTTTATCAATAAGGCTGTTTTGCTTTCTTCTCATTAATGTGTTCACTGGAGTAGCACTTTAAACTTCCTTCAACAACTTTTCCTTTGTATTCACAACTTGGCTAACTGGCCCAAGAGGCCTGTTGTGGCCTTCAATGTGCCTTCCTCACTAAGCTTAATCATTTGCAGCTTTTGGAATAGGGAGGCCCAAGGAGAAGGAGAGAGGCAGGGGAGTGGCCAGTGGGTGGAGAAGTCAGGACACACACAACATCTATTGATTAATTTCACTTATATAGGTGTGGTTCATGGTCCCCAAAACAATTACAACAGTAACATCAAAGATCACTGATCACAGATCACCATAACAGATATAATAATGATGCAAAGGTTTGAAATATTGTGAGAATTAGCAAAATTTGACTTAGAGACATGAAGTGAGCATGTATTGTTGGGAAAATGGCACCAGTGGACTTGCTCAGTGCAGGGTTGCCGCAGACCTTCAATTTGTAACATGCCCCATCTGGGAAGTACAATAAAGCAAATCACAATAAAACGAGGTATGTGTACATCTCAATGTATTTAAACATAGAAAAGGTACAGTAAAAATACAGTATTATCATCTTAGGGCACCATCATTGTATATGTGGTCTGTCATCTACTGAAATGTCATTATGCATGACTTTATTGAAAATCATTGTAATATCTTTATTTTGGTAAATCTTTATTCAGTGTCTCATAAATCACATGCCCCTGCTTTCAAAAATACATAATCGAGGAAGGAAGCTGTCTTGGTCAAATATGCTGAATACTCAACCCCTTGGAGAGGCATGTAGTCATTAGGATGTTCAAGTCTCTGAGAAATTCTGTTTTGAAGACACCTATTTCTATGTTTAACACAGTTTCCACTCCCGCACCCTCCCCCCAACCCCCGCGCAACCTCCAAATTAAGTACCAGTCAGCCTCAGGGAGACTGAAGCTAGAACTCTCCTGATTGACCTATCTTTTTGATTGTGTAGTTATAGGATATTCCAAGATAAATGCACGAGTACTACCTTGACGGAATGTGATTTCTCAAGTCTTTCCAAGTATGGTGACCACACCTTGAGAGTCAGGGCTGAATTTGCAGATGAGCATTCAGACTGGGTAAACATCACCTTCTGTCCTGTGGATGACAGTAAGCCATTTTGTTTTCCCTTTTTTTGTAATGTCATCATCTTGCCTTGTTTTTTTCCACATTGGTTGGTCCATCAACAAGAATTCTCTGAGGGCCCACAAATGGATGCCCTTGCACAAGGAGCTTAAGGAATATAATAAAGAGAGTTGTATCCCTAAGAAATTCATGGGAGAGACAGAAAAAGATGGGCATATCATCAATGCAGCGATTAAATATAAATCTAACACCTTCAGTGCCTCAAGGATGTGCATATGTTGGGCCCGTGCTGTTAAGAAGTTCTGGAAGGATTCTTGTGGTGAATTTTCTGGAAGAAAGTCAGTATGGAATTATGACTTAAAGAAATATAACATGATAGGCAAAAGAATGAAGGCAGGTGTAGAGATGGAAAATCTGATGCAGACAGCCAACTTGCCCAGAGCGAAGGACAGGGAGGGACAGAGCTGATGGCAGGTGGGTTGGATCAGACTGGTTGGTCAGCATCAAAAATTGTTCCCAGGTTAGGCGGAGATTGCAGTGAGCCTAGATCACGCCACTGCACTCCAGGCTGGGCAACAGAGCGAGACTTGGTCTCAAAAAAATTGTTCCCAGGTTAGATTTGGAGGGTCATGGTGACCACCAGAGCCCCTAAATATGAGATGAGCATATTTAGAATATCAGGAATTAAAAACTAATTAAACCATGTATTAGCAATTGAGAGAGTAAAGAAGATTAGAGGTTAAAAACCTGATTCACAAAATTCACATACAGCCCTTCAAAACTCACACAGAGAAAAGCACTAAAAGAATTGTTTCTGGCCAGGCACGGCGGCTCACATCTCCTAATCCCAACACTTTGGGAGGCTGAGATGGTGGATCACTTGAGCCCAGGAATTTTCTTCTTTTCTTTCTTTCTTTTTTTTTTTTTTCTGATACAAAGTCTTGCTCTGACACCCAGGCTGAAGTGCAGTGGCTCAATCTCAGATCACTGCAAACTCTGCCTCCAGGGTTCAAGTGATTCTTGTGCCTCAGCCTCCTGAGTAACTGGGACTTCAAGTGCCTGCCACCATGCCCAGCTACATTTTTTTGTATTTTTAGTAGAGACAGGGTCTCACCATGTTGGCCAGGCTGGTCTTGAACTCCTGACCTTAAGTGATCCCACCGGCCTCAGCCTCCCAAAGTGCTGGGATTACAGGACTGAACCACCACGCTTGGCCTTAAGCCTAGGAATTTAAGACCAGCCTGGGCAACATGGGGAAACCCTGCCTCTACAAAAAAAAAAGAAAGAAAAATAGCCAGGCATAGTGAAGTGTGCTTGTGGTCCCAGCTACTTGGGAGGCTGAGGTGGGAGAGTCACCTGAGCCTGGGAAGTCAAGGCTGCAGTGAGCCATTATCACACCACTGCACTGCAGCAGCCTGGGTGACCAGAGTGAGGTCTTGTCTCAAAAAAAGAACTGTCTCTATATGGGGAGGTTCTTCATGCCAGTCCCTGCTCTGGACCCCCATGACCCCTACAATTATATCCTCCCTGATAGAGAACGAGGGCTAGGATGCCTTTCTTCCCTCCCTCAATTCCATCCCAAGCCTGGGTAAAAACGTCTTACTTTTGGAACCATAAATTATCAAAGTTAGATTATTTTTTCTTTTTTATTTTATTTTTTTTCTTTTGAGACGGAGTCTCGCTCTGTCGCCCAGGCTGGAGTGCAATGGCCGGATCTCAGCTCACTGCAAGCTCCACCTCCCGGGTTCCCGCCATTCTCCTGCCTCAGCCTCCCGAGTAGCCGGGACTACAGGCACCCGCCACCTCGCCCGGCTAGTTTTTTTGTATTTTTTAGTAGAGACGGGGTTTCACCGTGTTAGCCAGGATGGTCTCGATCTCCTGACCTAGTGATCTGCCCGTCTCGGCCTCCCAAAGTGCTGGGATTACAGTAGATTCTCTTTTCTAACGGTACCTTTACAAAAACAAAGAAAAGATGAACAGAAAAGTAAGTTTCACGTAGTTAAAAGTACAAGTTTTTGCTCCTATAATTGCTAACTGGCTTACATGTCCTAACTTGTCCCAAATTCTGTTAGCTCCCATCCATGGAAGTTCCCTTTAGAACCTAGGTACAACACAGTTAAGCAGGTTGTCAAAAGGTCATACAGGTCATGAGTGGCTGAGCCAGGATTCAGACCCAAGCTCTTGTATCTGTGCTCTTAGCAACTACTACCCAATATTGGAGATTTGCTTCTTGAAGTCTATACATTTTAGTTATAGGAAAGTGCTTCCAGCCATCATGCATAACCTATTTATACTTGCTTTGGCAAAGTTTTCCAACAAGTTTTCTTGTCTGGTTTTCAGACGAGCACTTTAGAATGGTAGAAGCAGGTCCATTAACAGCCCTGAAAAAGTAACAGCAACCAAAGAAGAATACAGGACATAACTCAAACACCATGATTGCCCGGAACCATTTATGAACCATTCTATAGTTATTATTGAGCACATCTGTGTAACAGCTGCATTCGGAGCACTGAAGCTACAACAATGAACGAGACAAAATCCTTGCCCTCATGGAGCATATATGTGCTAATCAGGAATACAGATGATAAATAAATAGATACATATTATATGATAGGTAGTGACTGTGGTTCTCAAGAAGACTGAAGCAAGGTAATAGGACAGAAAGTAATGGGAGCTGCGCTTCTGCATAGAATGGTAAGATCCAGTTTCTCTGAGGAAATAGCATTTGAACAAAGACCCAAACGAAGTGAAGGAGCCAGCCACATGAATATCTAGTAAAAGTGCATTCAGGGCTGGGCGAGGTGGCTCAAGCCTGTAATCCCAGCACTTTGGGAGGCCGAGACGGGCGGATCACGAGGTCAGGAGATCGAGACCATCTTGGCTAACACAGTGAAACCCCGTCTTTACTAAAAAAAATACAAAAAACTAGCCGGGTGTGATGGCGGGCGCCTGTAGTCCCAGCTACTCGGGAGGCTGAGGCAGGAGAATGGCGTGAACCTGGAAGGCAGAGCTTGCAGTGAGCTGAGATCCGGCCACTGCACTCCAGCCTGGGCAACAGAGCAAGACTCCGTCTCAAAAAAAAAAAAAAAAAAAAAAGCATTCAGAAGGGAAACAGCTTTAGACTTTGTTGGAAATATATATGGTTAATTATATATGTTAAACATGTAAAGGTGGCCACTAAAAATAATAGAGATGCCATCTGTAGCTTCCATCCTAACAAAGAAAATAAAATTTAAGCCAACAAAAAGCAGGAAAAAGAGAGAGGAGGAGAAGACACCAAAAACATAAAATAGAAATGTAAAAAGAAATTATTATAGAAAATACAAAATAATACAGCTGGAATAATTCCAAATGTATCAGAAACCACAATAAACATAAGTGGACTAAACTTCATTAATAAAGACAAAGATTATCAGATTTTTTAAAAGCAACTAAATCCAACTATCCTCCTTAGCCATGTCAATCAATGTCATGACAATGGTATATCAAAGCAGTGTACTTCCATGGACTAATTGTTCTGCATGGTTATGAAAAATTAATATTGAAGTTTTTAAAATGTGGTTTTTGATTGTCATTTTGCTTGTTCTTATGCTTAGCCATTATTGGACCCCCTGGAATGCAAGTAGAAGTACTTGCTGATTCTTTACATATGCGTTTCTTAGCCCCTAAAATTGAAAATGAATACGAAACTTGGACTATGAAGAATGTGTATAATTCATGGACTTATAATGTGCAATATTGGAAAAATGGTACTGATGAAAAGGTAAGCTTGGCTAATTGCATTTCAGAGATAGTAGGCTTTCATGTTCTTTGCAGAATCTTGCAAGGTAGCAGCACCTTATGGACTGGTCCTCTGTAAACCAAGAGCTTCCCAGACTAAGGGGTCTCTGGCTCAAGCTTCCCAGACTCCCAAGGGATATGTGTAGAGCAGACTTTCAGGACAAAGTCTGCACAGTGACAGCAGACCTTTCCCTCCCTGAAGGGCAGTTGCAGGGGAAGGCACAGTTGAATCAGAGTTGGCTGAGGGAACTTGGAGCTGGGTGAATTAGGTGATCAGCAAATTGACAACTGTCTCATGACATCAACCCCTGTGTCCCACACACACCACAAATCAGGGACGTCCATGGTCAAGACAGCCCCTTGTTGCTCTATTCTTCAGGGGACAATTCCTTTAAAAACATGGGCTTGGAGTCAAAAGATCTGATCGGAATATCACCCCTGCCACCATGTGCCATTGGTCGCATTCTTGACCCCAGCCTCCTCAAGTATGCAAAATGGGCACAGTAACTTACTTTATTAATAAAACAAGGATAATCACCTACTTCATAAGATTGTTGGGGAATTTAATGAAATAATAGAAAATATAAACTCATCCCATTGCCTAGAATGATGTATATATGGTCAGTACATCAGTGCGTGAGGTTTCCTTCCTCTTTGCTAGACATGTTAAGGTAATTTTTATTCATCCTTGGTCAAGGTTTATTCTGATACCTAATGCTTCTGAGCTGAGTGCCATTCATGGTCCTAAACTGATATATATGGTTATATATGTCATATTACATATAGGTTATCTCTTCCACATTAAATGTTGATTTTACCACTTAATTCTCAAAGTGGGAAGAAGGGATCACCCATGTTTATTATCTTAGGAATGATGTAAATTTATATACACAACACTGCATAGCCCAAAAAATCTCAAGTTAATTTTTTTCCCCAAAAAATGTTCCATTAAATGATGCAGTTTCTTAGTCCATTCCTGCTGCCACAACAAAATACCACAGACTGGGTAACTTATAAACAATAGAAATTTATTTCTCACAGTTCTGCAGGCTGGGAAGTCCAAGATCAAGGCACCAGCAGATTCGGTGTCTGGTGAGCTCCGGTGTGCTCTGCCTTCTAGATGGTGGAAGGCAAAGGGCAAGGATGTAAACAGCTCCCTTGCTGCTCTCTTCTAAGGTCACCAATGGCATTCAGGAAGGCTCTGCCCTCATTATTTAATCACTTCCGAAAGCCTCCACCTCTGAGTCCTATCATATTGACAGTTACGTTTCATATGAATTCTGATACTCACAATCACTGATCAAATGCAGGCATCTCTGCTAAGCCCTAGGGTATAAAGATAAGAGCAGATCCCGCCCGTCCGGGAGCTAGCAACAGACCTCAATTAAGGATCTGGTTTCACAGTAAGCAGGGTCAGGTGCCTCCTGAGGCAATGTGAATGCAAACTCCACTTACTGTTTAGCTTTTTTTCTCACACATGCCCACAACACGGGCAGCTGGTTACACATTTGTCCTCTCCCTTTGGCCAGATGTGTGGCAGCCTTCAGTGTGACTTACCGAGTGTGGAAGGGCTGCCTGCTGCACTGCTACTCTCACAGGTGCCTGTCATGCCACCAATACAGGTTTTTTTGGTGGGGGAGGGGGTTTGAGGTGGAGTCACACTCTGTCATTGCCCAGGTTGGAAAGCAGTGGTGCAATCTCAGCTCACTGCAACCTCCGCCTCCTGGGTTCAAGCGATTCTCCTGCCTCAGCCTCCCAAGTAGCTGCGATTACAGGTACCTGCCACCACACCCGGCTAATTTTTGTATCAATACAGGCTTATATGGTTCCCCTCTAGAATGCAGAGATTCCTGAGGCGGTGCCAGACTAGGTCCCTAAACTCACAGCATGAAGCGCTTTTGGGAATTCTTTCTTCCTGTTGGGAGAAAGTGAGAAGATAAAACCAGAAGTTGCCCAGATGTGAAAGGGCAGGAAAAGCCCCAGTGGGGTGGCATACTGCTATGCCACCACCTTACCTGCTTGCCTCTGAGTTTAATCTTTGAAAAAAATTCTCATTGTAAGGTTTGAGAGGCACTGGACTTCTGGGACTGCAAGTCGCCATTTTTTTCAGTTGTTGCTTTGATTTGCTTTTGTCTTTTAATTTACTTATTAGAAGTTAAACCATTTTCTTCATATATTCCATGAGTCTAATCCAATTATTGACCTCCATGGGCTTAGCTCCTCATGCAATGAAGGAATATAGGCATGCTGTCAACAACCCCAACCCCAAAAGAGAAATAACCAATTGCAGCTGAGTGCGGTGGCTCACACCTGTAATCCCAGCACTTTGGGAGGCCAAAGTGGGCAGGTCACCTGAGGTCAGGAGTCCAAGACAAGCCTGGCCAACATGGCAAAACCCCATCTTTACAAAAATACAAAAAAAAAAAAAAATAGCTGGGTGTGGTGGTGAGCACCTGTATTCTCAGCCTACTTGGGAGGCTGGGGCAGGAGAATTGCTTGAGCCTGGGTGCAGAGGTTGCAGTGAGCCACGATAGCGCCACTGCACTCCAGCCTGGATGACAAGAGTGAAACTCTGTCTCAAAAAATAATAATAATAATATTTAAAAGACTGGTTTATCTTATTTATTTATTTATTTATTTCTGAGACAGAGTCTCGCTCTGTTACCCAGACTGGAGTGCAGTGTGGCATGATCCTGGCTCACTGCAACTTCCACCTCCCAAGTTCAAGCAATTCTCGTACGCCACCATGCCCAGATAATTTTTTGCATCTTTAGTAGAGATGGGGTTTTGCCATGCTGGCTAGGCTGGTCTTAAACTCCTCTGTCTCCCAAAGTGCTGTGATTACAGGCATGAGCCAACACACCCGGCCTGCTTTATCTTTTTTAAAAAAGAAGTGATGGCTTGTGTGTCATTTAAGCTAGAGAATTCAGGAACCGAGATGGTTTGTGGGCATCACCGTTAGTCCTTGATGTACCCTTGAGTGGCCTCAGGGTCCCTAAACTGAGAGGAGTACCTGCTACCTGCTCCTTCCTATTTTAAGTCTAAAACAGCTATTATAACTGGTAAATGTGAAAAAGAAAAAAAAAAGTGGTGTCCGTTCACTGCTTAGTCATGTTCTTATTTTTGTCTCCATTACTAGTTTCAAATTACTCCTCAGTATGACTTTGAGGTCCTCAGAAACCTGGAGCCATGGACAACTTATTGTGTTCAAGTTCAAGGGTTTCTTCCTGATCGGAACAAAACTGGGGAATGGAGTGAGCCTGTCTGTGAGAAAACAACCAGTGATGGTGAGTCCTGAGATGTGCCTCCGCTAAGCATCCTAAGCAGCTTTGTAGACACCTGCCCTAGACATGATTGCATCCAACTCAAACGCCAGCTCAGTTCAGAAATCTATCACCCTGACATTGTCTCTCAGCTCTGACTCATCAGCTTCATGCTGGGAAGGAGACCACGCCCGCTTCTGAGGCAGCTCATCCACTCAGATCAAAGGAGTTGCTAGAAACCTTTTCTGTCCCGTGGAGCGAGGTCTGCCTCCATGGGCCCTCCTTGGCAGTACTTATTCTGCCATCCCGGGCTCCCTAAAGCAAGGCCCATCAGTCCTCCCAAGACCACCAACAGAGCTCGAGCCCTGTCACATACCCCAGAGCTCTTTCCTTCCCAGGAGGCACATCTCCAGCCCCTGCCGACACACATACCCCAGAGCTCTTTCCTTCCCAGGAGGCACATCTCCAGCCCCTGCCGACACGTGATGGGAAGCAAGTGTCAGGAAATCTGACCACCATCCTCAGCCAGTGCTGCCTGATTCAGGGCCCCTTGTTTGCAGGGAACCAGGACGTCAGCACAGTCCTTCACACCATATGGACCACTTCTAGCCTGGGGGAAGGAACGGGAGAAGGAAAGAGAGAAGGTTCCCATGGGCCTAAACACAGAATATTTATGTGCAGACACATTGCAGTTGCATGTTGGTGAAAACTGTGGCCCGGGTGTCTGCATACAAACAGCAGGCCTTCTTATAATTTAAAGATGTTGGTGAAGGGTTCAGCAAGCTCGGACAATGGACGGATGAAACATGGCATGCAGCATGCAGTTTGATAAAAAAGAAAAACATGTCTGCCGGACGTGGTGGCTCATGCCTGTAATCCCAACACTTTGAGAGGCCGAGGCAGGCGGATCACCTGAGGTCAGGAGTTCGAGACCAGCCTGGCCAACATGGCAAAACCCCGTCTCTACTAAAAATGCAAAAATTAGCTGGGCGTGGTGGCATACACCTGTAATCCCAGCTACTTGGGAGGCTGAGGCAGACAAATTGTTTGAATCCAGGAAGTGGAGGCTGCAGTGAGCTGAGATCGTGCCACTGCACTCCAGCCTAAGCAACAAGAGTGAGACCCTGCCTCAAAAAAAAAAAAAAAACCATTTCAAATACCTTGCAAATACCAATAATCACCCATGAACTGACAAAATCCAAACATTTTACAAAACAAAAGGAAAAATATGAGCCATTGAAAACCTGCTTTCATCAAACACCATTTTCATTTTTTTCTTAAAACACACCTATCCCATTTAAATCCCACAAGTTTTCAATGAGAGCGTTGGAAGGATCTTCTCCCATTTTACAAACTAGAACATGAGGTTCAGAGAGTGATATAGTTTGGATGTTGCCCTCATCCAGATCTCAAGTTGAAATGTAATCCCCAGTGCTGGAGGTGGCGCCTGGTAGGAGGTGATTGGATCATGGGGGCCTATTTCTCATGAATGGCTTAGCACCATCCTCTTGGTGCTGTCCTCATGATAGTGAGTGACTTCCTGTGAGATCTGGTGGTTTAAAAGTATGTGCCAGGGCCGGGCGCGGTGGCTCAAGCCTGTAATCCCAGCACTTTGGGAGGCCGAGACGGGCGGATCACGAGGTCAGGAGATCGAGACCATCCTGGCTAACACGGTGAAACCCCGTCTCTACTAAAAAATACGAAAAACTAGCTGGGCGAGGTGGCGGGCACCTGTAGTCCCAGCTACTCGGGAGGCTGAGGCAGGAGAATGGCGTAAACCCGGGAGGCGGAGCTTGCAGTGAGCCGAGATCGCGCCACTGCACTCCAGCCTGGGTGACAGAGCCAGACTCCGTCTCAAAAAAAAAATAAAAAAATTAAAGTATGTGCCATCTTGCTGTCTCTTGCCCCCGCTTAGCTTTCCACCATGATTGGGAACTTCCAGAGGCTTCCCCAGAAACAGATCCTGCTATGCTTCCTGTACAGCCTGCAGAATCATGAGCTAATTAAACCTCTTTTCTTTATAAATTACCCAGTTTTAGTTATTTGTTTGTTTATTTGTTTTTTGGATGGAGTCTCAGTCTGTTGCCTAGGCTGGAGTGCAGTGGCACGATCTCGGCACAACCTCCGCCTCCTGGGTTCAAGCAATTCTACTGCCTCAGCCTCCTGAGTAGCTGGGATTATAGGCGCCCACCACGATGCCCAGCTAATTTTTGTATTTTTAGTTGGGAATGGGGTTTCGCCATGTTGGCCAGGCTGGTCTCGAACTCCTGACCTCAAGTGATCCACCCACTTCAGCCTCCCAAAATGCTGGGGTTACAGGCATGAGCCACCATGCCCAGTCATCCAGTTTTAGTTATTTCTTTATAGCAGTGCAAAAACAGCCTGAAACAGGGAGGTTAAGTAACTTGCCCAAATGCTAGTAAATGAAAAGGATAAACCAGAACACAGGCTCGTCTAAGCCCAGGTTATTTATGTCCCCTGTAACTTACTACCTATAGATTAATTCCAGAGGTGAACTGAGGCACCGTGTCTCTGGATAAAGCAGGAAGGAGTAGTCTGCCTCATGGCATGGTCGGATGGATCTGAAACAAGTTAGAGAACTTTACAGAGGGTGTAGATTGGTAGATTCTCCCACAGTTCACAACCCGTGCAGAGCAGGGTCCTCTCTCCTTCCCCTTCTGGAACTCTCCATCTGGGGTGAGGAACAAAAGCATTCCTCGAATCATGTCACCGTCACCCAGATGTGTCCTTGTCTAAGATGCTAAGATGCCCCAGTCTGAGACACCAGGAGACCCGAGCACTGCCTCAGAGGTTCATTACTCAAAATAAAATGACAGGGCGGGGCCCACGGATCCCTGTTTGAATGAGTCTCCGGGCGCCAAATGAGAGAACTACTGAAGTATTAATGGAAGGATGGATGGATGAGTAGGAACATGGAACTTCCGCAAGACCTGGGATGTCACATCCCCAGGAGACCTCACGTGTTCAGCTGTGGTGCGGACTGGGGCTGCTGTACAGCCCTGTGATCACCAAGAGCAGACTCACATGTTTGAGTTGAACATGCTGGAAGTGTGGGCCAGAAGGCACTGCTTCTGAACGTTTAAGGAGTGTCCACTGTGAGCCACGCACTGTGACAAGCACCACGTGGTGCCGGCAGATGACTGCACTTGCTGTAGCTCCAGGGTCATTGCTCTTTCAGGGCTCTTTGATGCCTGTGTCCCTTTAAAATGACATGCTCTTCACAGGCAGTGTTTGTTCTCTTGGCCCCTCTCAGAGCCAAATGCTCTGCTCATGAGGGCGGTGCTGGTTGGCAGGGGATGGGCACACAGAGATCAGGTGGCCAGGGCATCTGGAGGAGGGACCTGGGGCCAAACAAGGGGAGCTGGGACCACGAGCAACCCAGGTGACATCCTGGACTCTGTCAAAGATAAGCAAAGCAGGATGCTGGTGAAAGCGGTCAAAACATTTTATCCCGTAATGACTGGAGTAGGGAAAAGGGCTGACCGAGTTCCATTTACTCAGAGGTGTTTTAAAGGGAGAACGAGGTCCGGGCGTGGTGGCTTATGCCTGTAATCCCAGCACTTTGGGAGGCTAAGGCAGGAGGATTGCTTGAGCCCAGGAGTTCAAGACCAGCCTGGCCAACATAGTGGAACCCCCATCTCTATAAAATATTTTAAAAATTAGCTGGGCATGGTGACACATATCTGTAGTCCCAGCAACCCAGGAGGCTGAGGTGGGAGGATCACTTGAGCCCTGGAGGTCAAGGCTGCAGTGAGCCATGTTCGCACTACTGCACTCCAGCCTGGATGACAGAACCAGACTCTATCTCAAAAATGAAAATCAATAAAAGGAGAATGAGGGAGTAGAAGGAAAGAGTACGTGGGGAGTTGAGCAGAATCAGGGAAGTGAAAAAGATTTTAAATCAGCTGAGGGGGTGGGTCAGTGCCGTGAGGCCCTCTGTGTGTGTGAACCGAGGCTAGGTTTATCAAGGCTGGGCTTCTACCCTCCCACAGAGACAGGGAGACAGAGGTCCTGTCCTTCCTGCTGATTTCAAAAGAATGGCTCTCAGATCGTGGAGAAAAACATCCCCGGGTTGTGGGAGATACGTATAAGTCTCAAAGGGACAGAGGAAGGATTCACCATTGTAAGTCCTTTTGAATAAATGCTCTCTGAAAGAGAGGTCAAGGCCTCTCCTCGGGAGCTGGGAAGAACAAATGGTCAGTTCCTTAGGCAGCCTTGGATTTTTCCAGACAGGAATTCAAGGGGGTTGGATCATCCCAGGTATGTGGCCTTGGCCTGCTGAAAGCTATGCTGGGGTTTGGCCAAGTCTCTTAGTGCAGGGGTTCATTTGCTTGTTTTGGCTTTGGTTTTGGTTTTTGAGGCAGGGTTTCACTCTGTCGCCCAGGTTGGAGTGCAGCGGTACAATCATAGCTCACTGTCACAGCCTTGACCTCCCGGGCTCAAGCGACCCTCCCACCGCAGCCTTTCAAATCGCTGGGACTACAGGTGTGTGCCATCATACCCAGCTAATTTTTTTAAAAACTTATTTTGTTGTAGAGAAGCGGTCTCACTATGTTGCCCAGACTGGTCTCAAACTCCTGGGCTCAAGCGATCCTCCCGCCTCGGCCTCCCAGAGTCCTGGGATTACAGGTATGAGCCACCACACCTGGCCTAGTGCAGGGGTTCGGATAGAGTTGTTCATTCAGAGAGTTTCTGTCTTTCTCAATATAGAATGAGATGGAGCCTGTGTTTAACTCAGGCTCACGTGTCCAGGGGAGTCTCACTTGCTCCATCAAGGCAGAAGTGGTATATCCAGAGGCCCGTGGCTACACTGCCAGTAGGTACAGTGGATCAGAATTCTTGCTTGTTATTCTTTTGATGTATATCAGCAATAATTCCAGACACTAAACTTTGGAGAAGATAGGAAAAGGGTGAAACTCTTCGAAAACCTCTGGGTCCTCGAAGCAGTTGCTGTGTTTCTGAGACATCTCCCAAGATGAACATACAGGCTCTATTTTCAGGGATTGTGATGGTTAAAATGCTCTTGGGATCACCGTGACCCAACGTGTGACAAGAATGTAACATACCCATTATCCCTGGCAGAGACGGTCCCCTCCTGGATGGTGGCCATCATCCTCATGGCCTCGGTCTTCGTGGTCTGCCTGGCACTCCTTGGCTGCTTCGCCTTGCTGTGGTGCATTTATAAGAAGACAAAGTACACCTTCTCCCCTGGGAATTCTCTTCCACAGCACCTGAAAGAGGTAAGTAGGGTGGAGAGAGATGCAGATTCAAAAACCTGGATTGGAAAGAGCTTTCCTTTCAAGTTAGGGCTGCCCAATTCCAGACAACATGTTTTCCAGGAGAACACACACACACACACACACACACGTCTTTGTGTGCTTCTCCATTCTCTTGTAACCATTTCAGGGAAGTCTGAAGTCAAGGAACAGCCCCGAGGAAAGGGGCGCAGCTTTGTCCAGTAGCCCTCCGTACACCCTAGGGTGTCGCTCCTTCTCCAGCCTTCCCTGCCCAAAGCCCCAAGTCCCTGGGGAGCAAAGGTGATGGTTCTAGGGCAGGAGAGGAAAAAGCAGCGCCTAGTGTGGAAAAAAGAAAACTCGAGGCTAAATGCCAGCAAATCGCCAGAGGGAGAGAATGGGAGGAAGGAAAGGCACATTTCCAGTTTTAGAATATGCGAGAGTGAAACTCTGGGTAGTGTTTCCTGGTCTTTAAGAAGGCTATTTTTAAAAGGGTTAGGAGAAGAAACAATGCAACTGGCTAATGATAACAGGACTGAAGAAGCCCCAAGAAATGAAACTCTGGATAGTCACTGACACTTGAAAATGAGAAGATGCCAAGCCCAGACCCAAAGGAACTCTCTTTGGTCCCATTTCCCAGGAAGCAGACTCTGAGATAGAGATTTGCTTTCAAAAGGCTGAATGGGGAACATCCTTGGGAATAATACTCTAAGGGAGTGAAGGTAGCCAGATGAGGCAGAGAGAGGTTGAACTGTCACACAGCCACAACAGAGGCCTCAGCCAATCCCATGTGACCTCTCGAGTGGGGGTGGCCCCTTAGAGATGTCCTAAGCTGAGGCAAGAGGGATGGGCATGTGAACTCCACAATGGCCATGCCCTGGATGTGGGCTACTCCCAGGAAGGGGCCCTAAGCTGGGGTGAGGGGTGAGACAGCAGCAGACAGGAGCTAGGAGCACGAGTACCTCCTTCCTGAAGGTACCACAGCATCCATTACAGTCACCCCTGGGACCACTTGGATAAACTGGAAGCAGCTCCTCCAGGATCTGAGTTGATCTCATTTCCTGGGGAAGGTTAGAGGAGGAAGATGAGTGGAATGCACTCCAGCCCCCATTGCTGCTGCTAGTCTCAGGACCACAAAAGAACGCTTGTGGGTTGGCCTGTTCCTCTGCCGGCCCTGAGGGTCCGCTCTCCTCTCCCGGGAGGAGCCTGTGCTGTAGGGGCTGCTGACTTGATTGGGTGTCCCAGCCTTCATCCCGGAGAGGACTGAGCCTCCGGTTCCCAGGCCCATCTCAGGCAATGGCCTGCCCCTGCACTTGTCAACTTGCTGTCAAAATCGGGCAGGGGAGTCCCAGGAAGTGCCCAGTGACTCTGGCGGGTGCCCACTGTGATACAGTGGTGACTTCTCTTCTTGCCTGCCAGTCTCTTGGCCTGAGGAGGTGGCTTAAAGTTTATCGGCCCTTGTTTCGTGTCCTCTGGTAGAAATGCTCCCACTCTGGGAACCTTTTAGACCAGGTATGGCAAACTTTTTCTTAAAGGGCCAGGTAAAAAATATTTTAGAAGGCCAGGCACAGTGGCTCATGCCTGTAAGCCTAGCACTTTGGGAGGCCGAGGCGGGTGGATCACCTAAGATCAGGAGATGGAGACCATCCTGGCTAACATGGTGAAACCCCATCTTTACTGAAAATACAAAAAATTAGCCGGGCGCAGTGGCGGGCACCTGTAGTCCCAGCTACTCGGGAGGCTGAGGCAGGAGAATTGCGTGAACCAGGGAGGCAGAGCTGGCAGTGAGCTGAGATTGCACCACTGCACTCCAGCCTGGGCAACAGAGCGAGACTCCGTCTCAAAAAAAAACAAAAACAAAAATACAAAAATTAGCCAAGCATGGTAGTGCATGCCTATAATCCCAGCTACTCGGGGGACTGAGGCAGGAGAATCGCTTGAACTCAGGAGGTGAAAGTTGCAGTGAACCCTCACGCCACTGCACTCCACCCTGAGCAACAGAGCAAGACTCTGTCTCAAAATTTAAAATTTTTAAAAATTTATATATATATTTTAGGTTCTGTTGGCAAGAAATAAAAATCAAAGTTATAGATTCACTTATATAACCACTTAAATGTAATCGTTGAAAAATCCTCAAGCCGTATGAAAGCACAAGTGATAGGCCAGATCTGCCTCATGGGCCTTCATTTGCTGGTCCTGCCCTAGACCCGCAGAGCCTCAAACCGCGAGGTCAGGGAGCAGCGGTTTCCCCAGTAGGTCACTGGGCATGAGGGTGAACAGGGCCACTCCTAGCCCCTGCTTGCTTCCGGACCCGGGCATTCCACCTGCTGGGGGCACAGCATCACGTGATGATTGTCGGTCCTGGGTGCGTGCCAGGTGCTGGAGGACAAGGCCCCGCTCTCAGCAGGTGTCACCTCGAAGCTGGCGCCTCCCCTGCCCTTTCAACAGGCCGCTCCGTTCTTCCAGGCTGGCAGCTGCTGGGTGGTGCAGGGTGTGATATGACCGGGGGGTCCCGCCTTCACTGTCAGTGGGCCCATTGGTCTGGCACCATGTGATATGGCCCCTCTATTAGTTTGTCAGGGCTGCTGTAGCAAAGTAGCACTTGTTGCGCAGTTAAACAATGGGAATTGATTCTTTCACAGTTCTCGAGGCCAGATGTCCAAAGTCAAGGTATCACTAGGGTGGGTTCCTCGGAGGCTGTGAGGGAGGATCTGTCCCAGGCCTCTCCCCTAACCTCTCAGGGTTGCTGGCAATCTTTGGCGTTCCTTGGCTTCTGGAGGCACCACCCAGTCTCTGCCTTGATCTTCACACAGACTTCTCCCTATGTGAGTGTCTGTGTCCACATTGCCCCCTCTTTACACAGACACCAGTCACGGGGGAGGCTCACCCTACTCCACTGTAGCCTCATTCTAACTTAACTGATCCCCTCTGCAGCAACCCTATCTCCAAATACAGTCACATTCTGAGGTAGAGGGATTAGGACATACGAACTTCTTTTCTTTTTTTTTTTGGAGACAGAGTCTCACTCTGTCACCCAGGCTAGAATGGAGTGGCATGATTTCGGCTCATTGCAATCTCCGCCTCCTGGGTTCAAGTGATTCTCCTGCCTCAGCCTCCCAAGTAGCTGGGATTACAGGCACCCACCACCACACCCAGTGAATTTTTGTGTTTTCAGTAGAGACAGGGTTTCACCATATTGGCCAGGCTGGTCTCAAAGTCCTGATCTCAAGTGATCTGCCGGCCCTGGCCTCCCAAAGTGCTGGGATTACAGGCGTGAGCCGCCGCACCTGGCCCAGGGCATATGAATTTTGTGGGAATAGAATTCAACCCCTAAAAGGATCCTCTACCAGGAGAGCAAACACCTGTGAGACCATAGTGGTCCTGACAGGCCCTGCAGGACACGAACAGCAAATCACTCCTAAACTAAAGGTCAGCTCCAGCCAGGATGCACCACTGCCCCTTCCAGAGTGGTGCGAGAGAGTCGGTGTCATCAGCTTGCTACCAGCTGGCTGGTTGGTCTCCTCGGGGGATGCCTTCATATCGGGGCTCAGCATTGATCTCTGTCGCAGGCAGGTTGGACATTCTGCAGCAGTGGTGGCCACCCAGCCATGGGAGTGGGAGCCCCTTCTCTCAGGCCCATGCGCAGCCTCCATCCCTGCCACCACGGCTGCTGTGTTCATGAGCCCTGTGCCACGTACAGGTGACCAGTGGCAGAGGCTGGCTGACATCCACTGGCTGTGTCATCATGTCTCCCTGGCCATCTGCTGTCTATGACACATGCTCTCAGTGGGAGTTAATGTGGGACGCAGAAATCGCCACACTCCAGCTACTCCCTCAGGTCCATCCTTCTTCCCAGACGTCCTTGTCCCTAACTTTCCAGTCTTCCTTCCCCAGAGCCCCTGACCACCGGCCTCATCACTAACCCCTGCGTGGGATCCCACAGCTGGCCTGATCTTGGGCTGCTTTTCTTTCCACGTAAAGGGGATGACCAGACCTACGGCCCAAAGCTCGGCCCGTGGGGAGGCTTTCTCCCTGGTTGGGGCTGAAGTGCAGTAGCGGGCCACTTTCAGTGTGTGCCCACGTACCATGCTAACCTTGCCATGAAACCACGCCGGCCTTTCCTCCTTCTTCAGCTGGGCATAAGTACCCATCCCCCTTTGCAGTCATCATGTGAGCAGACACAGCCACTGTGCAACAGGGATAGAGGGCACAGGAGTCCCAGCCACCTGCATGTTGCCGACATGCACCCTCTGACCCCATCTCAGGGCCTGCTGGGTCTCAGGCCTCATGATGGTCGCTTCTGGGCAGCACGATCACCTCACGTCCCTGGTCAGAAGCTCTGTCTCTGTCAGGTCCCCATAGCGTCCCAAGAGCTGCTTTTTCAAACAGGGTATAATTATCTGCTACAGATGGCCCCGCCTGACCCCAGAACTCTCGTATCTATGTTGTGATTTTCCTCTTGGGATTTGCCAGAAACTCCACCCAGCATCTTTTCCCACCCCAGACACTTCAAGGATGTGCCAAGTCACACGTTCCCCGGGTTGGATTCGCAGGCTGTCCCTGGGGATAATGCACCAGTCCTGAGGTGTGCGTAGGGCTGCAGGCTCCACGGCCCATACCTTCTGCAGGGCCCTTTCCTGCCCTGGGCCCCTCAGCGCCGACAGCCTCCTGTGTCGTGTGACAAACATATTGGAGCAGTCAGTATTCCTGGGCGTGGAACGTGCTGCCTCCAGAGCCCTGAGGCCTCCACAGCACAATGCTTCCTTCCTAGTGGTGGGAGGGGCGAGACACAATAATTGATCCTTTAAAGAGGATGTGCTGGCACGCCCCACTGCAAGGGTCCCCTCAAATTTCACGGATGTGGCAGGTCCCTGAATCTCTACAGGGTGAGTTTCTCACCCTCTGCAGTGTGTGTGCCTCACCAATGCCTTGCCACTTCCTGCATGTCTGGTCCTATTAATGTATTGTTGTGATAGCTAATATCAGGCCCTTGTCCCCGCACCACC